GGCAGATCTGGACAGGGCAGCCCCTAACAGAAATGGGCAAGGTGTGAGTCCAGGGGCCAGGGGAGGATAAACTAGGGTTCTGTCTAACCGTCCTGGTACGCCAGGGGCTGAGGATGGTTGTCGGGACATAGAGCTTCCAGTTTTTAAACTACGAAAGTCCTGGACAAACTGGGTCAAGCTGGCTACCCTAGAAGAAATACTGCCTTCAATTTAAGGCTGAATTTTTGCCAAGCAGCAAAACAGCACGGCCCCTAACTGCTACTCAACCAAAACCTAAAGTTGGGGTTCTTTGTCCAGCTCTCACCATTCACTGGTGAAATGTCCAGCCTTGTATATTTCACCAAAGACAAGACCTCTAGCAGGAACTACACTTCCCCAACATGTAAACTGGTCCCCACCTTCAGCTCCTATATCTCCTCTTCTCCATCTCAGAGTGGCCTTACCTGTGCCCACAGATCCTCCCCCCAGCTCCCGTCCTCTGAGCGCTGGGGTGACCACAAGCAATTTCTCCAACCTTGCAGAGAGGTTTCCCGACTTCAAATCATACCACCAGAGATCCCTTCCCTTTCTCCTCAATTCACCCTCAGGGCCTAGGGGCCAGCCCTCCGTAGACTGTGATGTGTGTGCTCTCCCTGGGAGCCAGTGCTCTGTTCTGCGGATGCCTTCACACACTGGTTACTAGGTGGCTAGTTCCTACTACTGAACATCACCTCCAAATTCACATTTTCAAACTTAACTTATGTCTTGGTTTGTTTTTGAGATGGAGTTTCACTCTGTTGCCCAGGCTGGAGTGCAGTGGCACGATCTCAGCTCACCGCAACTTCTGCTTCCTGGGTTCATGTGATTCCCTAGCCTCAGCCTCCCGAGTAGCTGGGACTTCAGGCTTCCAGCACCACGCCCAGCTACTTTTTGTATTTTTTTTTTTTTTTCTTTTTTGAGACGGAGTTTCGCTTTTGTTACCCAGGCTGGAGTGCAATGGCGCGATCTCGGCTCACCGCAACCTCCGCCTCCTGGGTTCAAGCAATTCTCCTGCCTCAGCCTCCTTAGTAGCTGGGATTACAGGCACGTGCCACCATGCCCAGCTAATTTTTTGTGTTTTTTTAGTAGAGACGGGGTTTCACCATGTTGACCAGAATGGTCTCGATCTCTTGACCTCGTGATCCACCCGCCTCGGCCTCCCAAAGTGCTGGGATTACAGGCTTGAGCCACCGCGCCCGGCCACTTTTTGTATTTTTAATAGAGACCTTGCCTGGCCGATGCATTTTTGAATAGCAGCTCTGATAGAACTAGTCTCATTTCTATAGCAACACAGATGTCTGCCTGGACACTGCAGAGGGCCTTGGTTTCCCTAAACCTTAGCTACCCACCAGGGACTAACATTTTGAAAACAGCTGCAGTTTAAAAGTATAAGAGGGAAGAAGGAATGAGGAAAGGCTGGAGTGCTACAGTTCTCACAATAGCGATCCTCAAACTTCAGTGTGCGTCAGAGTTCTCTGGAGAGCCTGCTAGAACACACACTGCAGGGTCCCAGCTCCAGAGTATCTGCTTCCATAGGTCTGTGGTAGGACCAGAACTTGCATTTCTAACAGGTTCCCAAAGAAGGCTGACGCTGCTGGTCCACGGACCACACTTTGAGAACCACTGTGCTGGAGTGCAGGACTCATACACAGTGAACAGCAAGCATGGTGACATGTCCAAAATATGTGCCTGGACAGATGTCTCTCAGCAACTAGTACGAAAAAGTCACAATGGCTTCCAAGTTTAAAAAGCCATCTGTTGTCGGGTTCAGTGGCTCATGCCTGTAAATCCCAGCACTCTGGGAGGCCGAGGTGGGCGGGTCAGACCAGTCTGGCCGATAGGGTGAAACCCTGTCTCTCCTAAAAATACAAAAATTAGCTGGGTGTGGTGGCGCATGCCTGTAAACCCAGCTATTCAGGAGGCTGAGGTAGAAGAATTGCTTGAACCCTGGAGGTGGGGGTTACAGTGAGCCGAGATCGTGCCACTGCACTCCAGCCTGAGTGACAGAGTGAGACTTTGTCTCTAAACAAAACCAAACCACAAAAACCATCTCTTAGCTGTGATTTGAGTAGGATGTTGTTTGTGGAGTGCTCTCCTAAGCATCCTTTCTGGCCTCCCTTCCTAGGTAGACACGGCCACTGTCTGCCTGTGCTGCCCCCAAAGAATCATCTGGGCAGACACTCTTGCAGTCCGCATGACGGTGGAGAGGCCCTGTCTCTTCACCAGGCTGTGGTCTGCCTGAGGGGCTTGGTTAGAAGGCTCCAGAAGTTGTGACTGAGTCAGGAACACAGTAGGCTGGCCATCCACAGCAAGTCAGTAAATACAAACACTCGAAACACACAAACACTCTCAGTGTAGCCGAGGTGAAGGCATCTTTCTCCACGTAACTATGTCCAATCTAATTTGCACTCCTATGGGCTTACTCCTGGCAGCCACTCAAGCTGACCAGCACAGAACAAACCAAGGCTTTCACGCAGCTGCCCAGCCAGTCTCCACCTGTCTTCAAGGCAGAGGCGAGTGTGTCTGGGTGCCTTGCACTTGCCGGGGCTTTCTTTATTTCTCTAACTCCCACCTTGCTCTCCATCAGACCTGCAAGTTTTCTGACTGTATTCCGAAGTGGCCCCTCTCCTGGTCAGTGGGTCAAAGAATGAGACGGTCTCTGTGATGGAAATCACCCATTTCATCCCTTACTTAAGAAACGGTCTTTTGAGCCACGTTTCTAGAGCACAGAAGTTTTGGAGCCCCCAGTTGATTTGGTTTTGGGATTCTGGAAGCTGTTTTCAGTAGGGTGGGCAATTTTGACTAAATGCAGCTGTCAAGCCCTCAAATGAGAAGAAACTTGAGCCAACTGGTATGACAGGCAAGCAGCTATCAGTTCTGTTGGCCAGGTTTTAGTTACCAGCCTCGAAGCCAAAAAGAAATGGGTTTCTTGGAAACAAAAATGATGGAATTTGGGCTGCGAATTATATAACCTACCAGCGTTGCTCAGCTTATGCCGGGATGCTTTAACAACAAATTTTTAAGATGGAGAAATAAATCGAGAAAGAAGAAAACACTACCACTTGGGGCCTGCAGCCTCCTACCTCTGGGAACTTCTGCCAGGCCTTCCTTTCCTCTCCAGCCCCAAAAGTTAACAAGTGCTGCAGCTTTAAGAGTGGGAAGGTGTTGTTTTAAGGGCCTCTAAGCCCCCCTTCTCAATTTCAGCTCTAAGCTGAGATCACATCCCCCACACCAGCCAAGGGACAAAAGCCATTTATCAACCCATCTGATAAAACTTCCAATGGGCTGGATCTTTATCTAGACCAAACCAAGAGGAACACAAATTGCAAACTCCTGCTTTTCCGAAAGGGGGACTTCTTTTTCAAGAAGAGGGTGATTTTTATTTTTAATCTGAATTCCTGGGAGGAAACCAAATTGGCCTGTTCAGCCGGACTCTTGAGGTAGAGAAACTGCCTTTTAAACACGCTGGGGGTGGGGAGGGGGCACCCTGCTGTCTGACCCCTGCGGAGGTGTTGATATTCCAAACTGAGTACTTTTCGGGTATACCAAGACCCCTCCCCGACATCTCGTCCTTAGCCAGGCCTCATGGAAACCAGGTCTGGAAAGCAGATTGAGGATCTCTGACCCTCCTGGGGTGCAGTGGTAAGCCGGACGCACAGGGCTGAGCTGGCACTGGGGGCCAGGAGCAGGGCTGGGGCTAGAGGGTAAACTGATCCCTCGCTCCATACCGTTTGCTGTCTGCGTGGTCCGCCCACTGGGAGCCCCAACACGCAGCCAGGCCGAGTCAGACCTGCCCAGTTTTGCCAGTTCCTTGAAACCCAGTTGGCTGAAGAGCAAAACAAAACAACCCAATCCGACTTTCAACTCAAGTCCTTTCTTGCAAAGTTCAGGGGTGCGCGGGGGCTGCGGCTCCGCGCCCGACTGTGGAGCGAAACAAGCTGAAATTTTTTCAAAAAGACACCTCTGAACCCGCAAGCGCAATGGAAATCCGCCTTGCGTCGGGGGGGCCGTTTGGCCCGTGACATTGTGTTTATTTGTATTTTTAGTAAAGAAAAAAATTGGTAGAAAGGGTGTAACTGGTATTTTCAGGCTGTGAGCAGCATATGGCAAAAATGAAATAAAGTTTTATGAAACATCATAAAGAAAACAGGCCGGGGATTTAAGTTGCCTGCCTCCCCCCTCCCCCCGAAAGGAAAAAAAAAGGAAAGAAACTGGAGCGTTTGGGAAGGAACAAATGCTTCTCTGTGGAGCTGGTCGCCCTTCCCCCAACAAAAACAAGAGGTCCGGGCTCGGAGGAATTTGAAAGCAGCGATCTGCCAAAAACATTGTGAAAAACTATGGGGGATTCATTGGAAACAGATGGGCTTTTTCAGCTTTAATTCTAAAATTCTATCCCGTTCTGACACAATAAAAACAAACAGGGGGCGACGCAGAAAGTTATCAAACAGGAACACCAGCTCATTGGAGCCGGGTCCGTGGGTGTCCCTGCGTGGCCAAGCGCGTGGAAGAGGGATGAGGTCTCCGGGAAGGGGGCGGTCGGGAACGCGGCTGGGATCTCAGGGGCGCCCCTGGCTCCACCTCTAGACACCCGGCAGGTTTGCAAACTGCTGGGCGAGGAGCTGGAGAAAGTGTCCCAGCACCGAGGGCGTGCCTCCCCTTCTCCCCTCTAACGAGCCCCTAGGAGGCGCATTCCCAGCACCCCCTTTCTCGGCGAAAGCGGAGTGAGGCACCCCCGGCCCCTGCGCCCTCCCCACCCGTCTCCTTCTCAAGGCAGCTCGGGCGGGGTGCCCCCTCCAGGGCCCCAAAGGCATCCATCGCACCCTCAACGGGGTACGGGAGAAACAAAGACCCGTGGAAATGGGAGGCGGGGTCCGGAGGAAGTCCGGGGAGCTTGAGGCCGGACTCGCTCGCGCAAGTCTGGCCCAGCTTTGAGGGGCGGCCCAGGGACCCGGCCCAGCGCGCCCGGGCCCGCAGCGCCTTACCTGCTGGGAAGCTGCAGAGGAGGAAGGCGAGGGTCGGCCAGAATCCCAGGGCTGAACGTCCTGCCCCTCTCCCCATACCCATCCATCCAGCTCGGCCTGTTACCACTAGCCTCTCCCTGGAAGAAGAGTTCAGAAAGAAAGAAGAAAATAAATCACGCTGCGGAAAAACGGCAGCCTCGCTCCGCCGGCGGGAGCAGCGAGCCGGGAGGCTCGGTCCACCTCCGCCACGGGCGCCCGGCGCACTCCCCCTTCGCCTGCCCGTCTCCCTCTCCCTTCCGTGCCCACCCCCGCGCGCCCCGCCCTCACCATCCATCACTCGGTTCCCCGCCAATGTCGACGCGGCCCCGTGCCCCCGCCCCGCCCCCTCGCGCTCAGGTTTCAGCGCGGCGGGAGAGGTAGGGGGAGGCGGCCCAGCCCGGACACAGGCGGCCCGGCTGCGGCGCTGGGCGGGAGGACCTCCGAAAACTACGGCCCTAGATCGGAGGGCGCGCCATGCTCCCCGACCCTCGCGCCAACTCCACGCCAGCCGGCTATCCTTGCAAAACAAGCCCAGCACCCTTGGGAGGCCCAAGCCTCGCAAGGGCAGGAGGGGGGCAGGGCACACCCTTAATCCCCTCCACAAATATCCAATCCAAGTAGAAAACCATGCTTGGAGACAAGTCCCAGCCCTACTTTCCAAGCAGACTGCCGACCCCAAACTGCCGGCGACGTCCCCCGGCTCACGCGTCTCACTCAGACGCGCCACCGGTGCAGGATGCTGAAAAACCCACTTCCGAGTTGTCTGGGTCTGGGCAGGATGGCCCTCTGCATCTCAGCTACTAATGCACCTCTAGGTTCCCGCCTGTCGTGGCCCCAGGCCACCCATCCTGATGGGCTTGAACGGCCTCCAGCACCCCCTCCAAGCACCTCGCTACATCCTGAGGACTTGTCCTGGCTGCGCCCCCCCGAGCCGAGGGCCTGCGGGCCTGACCCTGCCACCCTGGCACAGCTACCACTCCAGAAGAGATGTGCCTACGGCGGTCCCCGTGACGGGCAGGGCCGGACCGTCCCGCGCTCAACGCTGAGGCCCGAGGGCTGCCCTTAGGAGGGCTTCAGGATGGTGACCTTTCCTAACGCTGTCGCTTATTTTTCTGGTAAAAAAACCATCTCCTTCCCAAGGTTCTCTGGGCGCTGTAGTTCTGCTCCCTTGTGATATTTAAGGACTGGTAACTATCAAAAAAAAACCAAAAAAAAAAAA